AGAGACCCTGCTAAGGCTTTTCATGCCTTCGCCCATAGAATCATCCCCGAGACTTCACAAGCTCGCTACTTTTGAGATCCCCGTTCTGTAGGTGAGCAAACTGAGGCTCTGAGCGATTAAATAACTCACACCAAGTCCAGAGCTAATAGCTAGAAGAGCTGGTGTCTAAACCCAAGTCTGTCTAACTAGAGGGGCCAAGTTCTTAAGCGCCAAACAGTCTTGGCTCTCTGAGTCAGTGCAGCTCTCTGAACCTCATTGTCTTCATCTATAGAGCAAGGAGATGAGATGAGATGAGATTTTTTTAAATGGGTTAGACTCCCCTTGTGCTCTAAAATTCTCTCGAGTTCATGGGTTACTTACTGTAGAGAACTTGCCGTCTTCCCCTCCCCAGAACCTGTCAACATTGGCGATGTTACCAAGGCATAAAAGAAAGATAAGTCATCTTTTTGAATCACACTGAATGAATTATATTGAGAAGTGACACGGACATGTATCACTTTACACTTGACTGAATGCTTCTTGAGTCCTGTCACGTGATTTTTGTGGCAGCCAGGAGAGGTCACTGTTGCTAGCCCTGCTGTACACATGGGGGACCTGAGGGTCAGAGGTGTGAAGTGACTTCTCACATGTGCGTGGCTACCTGCAGCCAACGAAATGTTCAGACTCCAAGTCTAATGATCCTTGTAGGGCCCAGCCTCTTTCTAGACTTAAACATTTCTCGTTTATACATTCAGTACACCCTGCTTAAGGGCCCACTCTACACGTGAACTTGAACAGCTTGAGTTCTTTCACGTCCATGTCAAAAGAGCCAGTCTTTGCTTTCAGAGAGCTCTCTAGTTGAGGCAAGATTTATTAATTAGCTCGCATTGTAATACATCAGCATCAGGAGAATAAGAATGCTGTAGAAACGCACAGGTGGAGCGCTTAGCCAGCAGAGTCAGGGAAGGTTTCCTGGCCAAGATGACACAGGAACTGCGTGTTAAAGGCTGATTAGGAGCAAGAGAGGAATGGAGAGGAAAAGAGCCTTTAGGCACAGGTCACACTAACTACAAAGGCAAAACCCTTAAGGGTATGGTGTGCTCTAAGGAATGAAGACACAGGTGGAAGAGAAGACACGGCAGGGCTGTGTGTACAGGGCAGGGTGGCACAAGACAGGGCTGGAAATGAATACCCATGTGGGGCGTTGTCTACCACAGTTAGGACGTTAGACCTTACTCTATGGGCCATGGAAACCATCGGAGGCCTTTGATCAGAGGGTGATGTGATCGTATCGGTGTCACAAAAACCAGTGGAGGATGGTGTGGGGAGTAGACTGGACCTACAGACAGTCTAGAATAGAGGCCACAGACTCAGATGCCTGATTCCGACCCAAAAGGTAATGGAAATGAGTGGCCGGGGGTAATGGGACCGCGGCAGAGGGAGTGCTAGACTGTCTAGAGGGAGCAGCCATCACTTGGCACCAGCAGGTGGCGCCCTGCAAGAAAGTCCATGTAGACTTTCTTGTTTTCACTGCAAGTGGAGAAACGGACAAGGCAGAAATCCAGATATTTCTTGTGAAATCTCCCAATTTTAAAACGTTGAAATGAATTCAGAAAGCTTCAAAATGCTACACAGACCAATAAGAATCTAGGGGCTGGTTCCGACACCTGGCTGCCGTTTGCAACCTCCAGGCTGGAAGCAGTGTTTACAAAGTGCTTATAGGTCAGAGATGATGAAAGCCTGGACTCCGGCCAGTGGGTCAAAAGGAGCAACACGAATCCAAGAATCCTCAAGGGGTGGGGACTGCAGGAATTTGGAATTGACGGCTTCATTAGGAGGGCGAAGGTGGGGAAGGATGGGTGACTTGAGGTTTCTCGGTACGTCCCCCACGTTTAAGACAGTCCACGTTCCTGGCAAACACTTTTTTCATGGAGAGTGAAGTCTGGGTGAATGAGTTCAGGACGCTAATGAATTAATAATGCTACACCCAGGGTTACGCATCTGAGTGTAATTACACATTTGCACACCACGCCTAGGTCAGCCGAGGTAGTTGTGGCAAGAACGCATTGCATGAAGCAGTGGCCTTGATTTACTGGACAAATAAAGGCACAGAGAAGGTTTGGGGAAGTACAGATTTCAAAGTGTTGAAATAATGATCGATGAGACCTTTCATCTCTGAAGATCTGAGCTCTGAATCCGAGACGTAGAGGGCCAACACACCTGCTTGGCACCCACTCCTGACCGGTTTTGTAGTCACCTTTCCAGAGAGAGCCATGACAGGAGGATTTGGGGAGGGCCACGGGGCTGTCAGTGGAGTCATCTTTATGCTTGACTTTCTGGTATTGCTGAGTACTTAGAAGTTGCTCTTTGGCGGAGGTTAAGTGATCCAAACCACTCAGTACTCTCCAGCCTTTTTCGGGCCAGACCTAGCTCCCTGATAGGGATTCGGAGAAGCATTCCCCAGTGAGGGATTGCAGACCCTCCGTTTGGGCAACGAATATTTCATCTTTTACAGTTCACTGGCTCTCTCTGTTTCTAGGACATTGCTCCACATGTGCTGATGAATTATTTAGAGTCAGTCTGCTGGTCTGCTCTGTTCTAAAGCGTCTCGTTGAAGGGGGTGATGGCGTGTGCTGTGGTCAGACCACAATGGTCCAGATGTGGTAGCTACTGCTCGTGACAAGTGTGTCTGCTTTGGTTTGTGTGTGAAGGTCCCAGACAGACACCGAAGGGAATGTTACTGCTGAATCCAGCTCCGCGGGCGTGAGCATGGAACCCACCCACTACACTAAGAGTGGACAGCCTGCTCTGGAGGAGCTCACTGGTGAGTATGGAGCCCCAGAAAGTCTGTGTCTGCTGCCGATGAGACCTCCCATATAACCACCCGGCCTGATTGGAGTCGCCTTACTGTTGCACTGACGGATAACCTAAACAAAGTTACTAGTGTTATTTTTTGTTTTCCTCCGTCTTCTCTTTCTTCCCTGCCCTCTCTCGCACAGTCTACTCCCTTGTCCTCAGAATTATAAGTAAATCTCTTGCTTACTGGCAAATCCTGTTTTTTTTTTGTTTTTTTTTGTTTTTAACGTTTATTTGTTTTTTTGGGACAGAGAGAGACAGAGCATGAACGGGGGAGGGGCAGAGAGAGAGGGAGACACAGAATCAGAAACAGGCTCCAGGCTCTGAGCCATCAGCCCAGAGCCCGACGCGGGGCTCGAACTCACGGACCGCGAGATCGTGACCTGGCTGAAGTCGGACGCTTAACCGACTGCGCCACCCAGGCGCCCCGCAAATCCTGTTTTAATACATGTTCCATTTCAGTAGCGGACCTGGGCTGCTCTGACACTTAACTTTGAATCTCCTTGTTCACTCTTCAGATAAAGTCACTTTCGAACAAGATCTGGAACTATCATATCTTGCCTTTTTTTTTTTTTCTTTTCTGTATGGAAGCACTGATTGAAAATGTATTCTTGTCATCCTGCATTAATCGGAAAGGAGAACACAGCATGCTTCTTTTACCAAAAATAAACATTTGGTAAAAAAAAAAAAAAAATGTTTTTTTTACCAAAAAAATAAACATATCTAAATGTTATTTAAGTTTAACCTAGACGATGATGATTAAAGGGCTATTATGTTACATGAAAACATAAAATCCACAGTTGCCATGTAGTTAATTCCACGGGTATTGATTTATTAAGGTTATAAACCTGTCACATCCTCAAAGGAGAAAAGTTAGCGTATGAGTCAGGATTCCTACTGCGCTGCATTCGGGGTTTATCACCACCTCTGTCTGTCTGCCCCATTCCCCACTTCTGTGTCCTATGTTCCAGCAACTTCTAATCAGGGAAGTGAGTGGTAAACCACACATTTAGCAGTGGTTGTGTTATTCTTTGCATATCTTACCACTTCCAGGGTTGGCTTAAAAATCGAATCCATGTTTCAAGTCCATTTATTAGGCTAAATATCCACGACCACACCGTTTTAATAGCCACATCACAGCTGTGGAGTTGGTCTGCAGCCCACGTGAGGGGACCATACCCATCTCACCATTAGCTCTGAGTATTAATTTCAGAGGATCTGAGCTATTTAACTATTTCCTTCTGGTTCTGCTGGCCGGGAACAGTGATGAGGCAGAGCTTTCAAGCCATTTAGAAGTGATCCATCTTGCAGTGGTTCAGGACCCCACATTTGGGATTGATCTTGTGCTTCCTTCCCTCCAAGCTTTGTACCTCCTTGCATATGAGGACATGGCTAGCCCAGCAAAAGGGCCCGCTACGAGAAGGGTGTGGTGTTCAGGGACTACTCAGGTCTCCACACACATTCCAGACTGTATTCTTATGGGCACACATCAAAAGAGGCAGGCTAGTGCTCCGAGAGCCTGGCATATATCAGATGTGTGTCCCGTGGAGTCGTGTGGATTCATGTCAGACTCTGAGGCTCTGCAAAAGTCACATTTGAAAAGCAGAAGCAGCGGCCAGAGGACATTCCACATCACCCTTCCCTCCCTTTTTTCTTCCTTCCTTCCCTCCTTCCTTTTTTTTTTTTTTTTTTTAATTGCTAAGCGGAATTTCTTAGAGTGACTTGTCTTTACGTTCAAGCAGTAGACATCACATGTGTGACTAGGCTGTGAATCATTTTATGGACACAACGGATAGTAGTATAAGGTCGAATTCACCTATCCACAGCTGATCCCTTGAAGTGACAATGAGTAGCGGGTATATTTAGAAATGGACATCTATGACACTGACCGATTGCTTAGCTCTGCCCCTCTTCAGGTGGCGAACTAGGTGGGTTTTCCCATGGTGCTTTGTCATTTGTATGACATTACAGTCGAGACCTTGTAACTTGGATCATAGAGTCAGAAGGGAGCACACACACCTGTTGATTATCCAGTCCACGAACCCCTCTGTCCTTCACTGACAAATTGTCTTTCAGTCTCTGCTTGAACGTTCGTGACAGGAAATTATTCCTTCGTAAGGCAGCCCTTCCATTTTTTTGTTGGCCTTCACTGGTAACAGAAATTCTTTATTCTTTCGTTTCTAGTCACCGGATATAAGCCATCCTCTTACAGCCCACAGCTAATTTCCATTCTTTGTCGTACAACAGCTTCTCCCTTGAGCCTCCTCCCTCCAAGGGAAAATCCCGGGCTCCCTCCACGTTCCTCTTGTAACACCCTGACGTCCTCCAAGGTCAGCCCTGTTGGGTCACAGTGTGGTGTTCTGTCCATCGTGGCCGGTCGCCCAAGGGAGGGCTGACCTTGTGAATACAGAAGAGCTGCAGAGGGACAGGGAATACCTTAAGACCTCTGTACGCGAGCAGAAGGGGCCTCCATTCCCACCGGAGCATAGTTGTGTGTTCATTCTGCTCAGGCTGTGAGCTGGTGCACGTCCTTGCTCACATCGTGCAGCCTCTGAGGAGACAGAAACGGCAATTGAGAATGTGATCACCTGAGCAAGGTGGGTGGGTCCTAGTTTGCACTTCTGCGCTGCTCTTGGAATCTGGTATGTGTCGTGCTCTGGGCTGGGGCTGGGGGGTTGCAGGCGTTTCCCAGCACAAAGCCGCATGCCCCAACAAGGGAAACAGGAAACTCGAATTCAGCAAGCCCTCATTTTGTGCCAGGCGTATCATAAGCATCTCATGCGATCCTCCTACTGCCCCTTTCAGGGAAGGTTTTTATCCCCATTTGACGGATGACATTCAGAAAGGATCAAATGACTCACTCGAAGTCAAGCGGCTAATAGATAGCATCGCCAGAGTTCAAACCTTTGTCGAAATGCAGGCAGTCTGTGCTTTTTCTTTCAGCCCTACGCTGACCAAACATTTTTGGACAATAAATATCTCTCGGGCAACTGCGGATTTGTGTGAGAGTTACTAAGAGTAAGGGTGAGATACCTTCCCATCTCAAAGGTCTTTTGAATTTCTAAAGGAGAGTTTACAGGTGAACATGCCAATTAGGAGAGACATGGGAAAATAGGTACAATTATGATGCTTTTATAGGGGATTAAGTTAACTAACTGGGAAGTTTGTGCCTAGATTTAGCTTTCTTTATTATTAATTTATTTTAAGTTTGTTTATTTTTGAGAGAGAGAGTGCACATATGTGCATGGGAGAGGGACAGAGAGAGAGAGCGAATCCTGATGAGGGGCTCGATCGCACAGACTGTGAGATCATGACCTGAGCTGACATAAAGAGTCGGATGCTTAACCGACTGAGCCACCCAGGCGCCCCTAGGTTTGGCTTTGATCAATGTTTACTGCAGGGCCTAGAGCTGTCGCAAGGATAGTACCTTTTTGGCCTTCTTATGATAGACAGAATATGGCCAAAGTGACAGCAAAAGATACTGGATAGGCCAGGAGATTGATGTAGTTACATTCTTCCAGTGCCATGCAGGAAGGGAAGTAAACTTTCATCACTGCTTTTGTTTGAAAACACACATATATATGTATGTTTAAAGAATTGGGTGGGAAATGCAAGCCTGGACCACTGTTCAGATAAGAGAAAAATGCCTTCCAACTTTCTCTTGGTTCAAAAGGAGGAGAAAATTGGAAACACTTGGTATTTTCAAGGACCGGAGAGTTTGCTAGAGCAAATTTCCTCCATAAAATCACACATGTGTCATTCAGTCCGTCGCCCGATCTCCAGGCACTACCGTGTCAAGAACAACTATAGAAGCTTTCTGCCTCAGAAAGAAAGTCAGTTCCATAACATTTCTTAGCTGCCTGTTCCCTTATTTAAATTATTTTTAATGTTTATTTATTGTTAGGAGACAGAAACATAGTGTGAACGAGGCGGGGACAGAGAGGGAGGGAGACACAGAACTGTGAGATCATGACCTGAGCTGAAGTCTGACGCCCAACTGACTGAGCCACCCAGGTGCCCCGTTAGCTGCCTGTTCCCTTATTAATGACAGCTGCTGGGAGTTCTATGTAGTAGTTCCTGATGTCAATTCCACTCGCTGCTGCCCGCCCATGTGTACCAGTTCTATGCGGAGATGTCCTTAAAAATGTCGCTCAAAGCTTGAGATAGTCACAGGCTTTTAAGGAGCCTCGATTGTGGTTCTTCGGCAGGCTTCTCAGCCTTCCCTGGAATTACTCTGAGGGACAGGTGTTTGCTTCCTTCCATCGTTCTTGTTATTATTCCCCATCTCCTCTGCCCCATGTAAGCCCACACGAAGCAGAAGAGCCAGAGAACCCAGAGCAAGGCTTCTCTGGAGGGCATGTGGCTTCCTAGCTTGTGTAGGGCCCGTTTCTGCTGGTACCCTTAATGCCAGCTTGACCTCTGACTGGCTGGGTGTTCTGTGGAAAATCTTGCCCAGAGAATGGAAGTTTCATCCCCTGAAGAGAAACCCTCAGTCCTCTTGATGGCTTCCTGCTCTGCAGCACCAGCTGGCATGACTTAGTGCCTGAGGTGGATGCTGCGCTCAGGAATCTCCAGGCCCTATCCTGTTTACAGCTGTCCTACGTTGGTACTGTTACTGTCCTCTTTTGAGGACTATGGAATCTGAGCGATAGAGAAGGTCAGCACCTTCCCCACGGTCACACAGCCAGTGAGTTAGAAGGACTGGAATTTGAGATGACATAAAAATCCAACAGAAAGAGGCAAACCTCTCTCTGTAGAAATATTTGTGATTAATAAGTGAAGATCTTTTAGGCACTGCAAGTTGTGTTTACCAAATAGGGCTGGTAGAAAGCAGAGTGTTACCACCAGTGGGTGAGAAAATAAAATGCTTCACCCACTTCTGCACGGGCAGAAAACGATTGGTGGGAGGTGCTTAGACCTAACTTGTGTTTGTCTTTATTGGAGACAGTTTGTAAATGTGTTTGCCCTTCAGGCCAGGTGCTTTGCTTCTCCTGCAAGGTAGACTTTACCTGTTTCAGAAGGGACCTGGAGGGAAAAGAAAGACTTCTCTCCTTGTATTTAGCGACTTCCTTTGGGTGTCCATCCATCCATTTGTTCTCAAATCCTTAAGCGCCCACAGTGAGCCAGGCCCTGAGCATCGAACATGGCGTGTTCCGTGGAGCTCACGATCTATCAGAGGATTAAAAGTCTTACCCCTCATCTTTCCAGGGGAAGACCCTGAAGCTCGACGGCTGCGAACAGTGAAGAACATCGCTGACCTGCGGCAGAACTTGGAGGAGACCATGTCTAGTTTACGGGGAACTCAGGTCACACACAGGTGAATGAATGTCTTCACTGCATCACGGGCGACTTGATTTTCATGCAGCTTCTCCTATGTTTGTTCATGCCACCAGCAATGCGACTTGGTTAATAATGGAATGAATAATTTTGATCCCCAAATGTGCTGGAATTCACAGAGCAGGCCATCCAATGTGCAGAAGAGAAATGTCAGGGGCAAAAATCAGTATAGACTGGTTCCTCCCCAAAGCAGAAGGTCGCTAAATCCATTTGTCAGTGGATATTGTGGACCAGTTCCATTTAAATTTCACTTGACTTGCGTTTTCCAAGCCTGTATTGTGCTGTTAAAATGAGCAGGTGAACTATATTTGACCTGCGTGATAAAGTGAATAACTTGAATTCCTACCCAGTCTTCTGATACACAACGCTCTGTAATGTTGTTAGTCATGCCCGCGTATAAAACACGTAAGGAAATATTTATAAAAACTTATGATCGTGTTTAAACTGTGATTGCGTTGGATGAGATCTAGGATTACATTGGAAACATGCATCAGGTTGTTTTCATTGTTGAGCGTGAAGTCGGAGAGGTTGCAACCCTCTGACCCCCTTCGTGGATTTTGGCAGCACCAAAGTTGACGGTTTGCCTTTGGCCTTGATGATGAAGGCAAAGTGCTAGTTGCCCCGGTAACTCCCAGGGAGTCTCCCTTGCTTCTCCAATTTCAGTTTCTTTGATAAATGAACATAGCACAGGGACAGCAGGGCTTCCCCAACTCCCGGCAGCTTTGGCAGAACGGGGCTGAGCGCTGTGGGTTCTATCTTAAATGAGACAGGAGCCTGAACCTTAGGGGTCCCCAGTATGAGGGTAGTAAGGCCGCTTCTAGGATGAAAGGGAAACAAATAGTTTCTTCCCGGTTCTTCCCGAAACTGGTTCTTCCCGAGGACAGTAAACTTGACGGGTCGTAGTGTGGTGCCCCCTTGCCAAACCTTTACGTATTTGATGGCATGGAGCCAGCTGCTAGACCCCGTGACGCCGTGATCAACTATGAAACACCCCTCTTTCCACCTTAATCACCGAAACTGACTTGCTGGGGGTTGTGGCAGTTTGGTGGCTTTCTTGGTTTGGGCTACGACAGTCACGATGACAGCGGGGAGACCTTTGATGGCTTTTCTTCAGGGAAGGCTCTCTCAGCTCAGTTGGGAGACCCCAGTGCGCTCTGCAGAGGTACATTAACCAGCCTGCTTGTGCCACAAGATCTGCAGGGCTGGAGAGAGTGATGGAAGAGTCTTTCTAATGGCCAGGGATGCACTCAGTCTCCTGGCAGATTCAGATCCTTGTAACTTCATTTATTATGGACCTTGAACCTGGGTAATTACCACTCTCCCAGCCTCTTGCCCCTGAAATTTAGTTGTCCTTTTGGACGAGACGTGGGAGAAGCAAAAGTGTGGGGGAAATAGAGCTTAGAGTTACAAAATCAGGGCTCTCCCCACCTGCTTGGTGTAGAGGGAGCTGAGCACGTGACAGGTGACACTGGGAGCTCGGGAGTGGCAAAGGGGAGCTGTCACACAGCATCCTGGAATGTGTGGGTCAGAGGATGTGTTCTGCCCCCTCCCTGTCATTTTGGCATTTTTCCTTTCTTGGGTTGGCAAGAAGAGTCCAGTAGTTAAGGTCATTTCATTGAAGTCATGGGTAGTGGGGATCTGGTACCATGTTTTAGGGGGAAGGTCTCTGCTGGGCTTCTCAGAGTGTTCTATTCACGTACAGCTTCGTCTTCTCATTTTTAACAGGAAATACAGTGGGTAGTGCATTGGTGGCTATTGCTTGATGCTGTTTCGTGTATGGGAAGTATTTCATAGTTTTAAAAAAAAAATTACATAATTCTAAAAAAAAAAAAAAAAAAACTACAAAGGGTCCTGAGTTAATGAGGTTCTAAGCCAAGGCCGCTTTTATGTTTTCAGCACATTGGAAACCACATTTGACACCAACGTCACCACGGAGATAAGTGGGCGCAGTATCCTCAGCCTGACAGGCAGACCCACTCCTCTGTCCTGGAGACTCGGCCAGTCCAGCCCCCGGCTCCAAGCGGGAGATGCCCCCTCTATGGGCAACGGGTACCCGCCTCGAGCCAACGCCAGCCGGTTCATCAACACCGAGTCGGGCCGCTACGTGTACTCTGCCCCTCTGAGGAGGCAGCTGGCCTCCAGGGGAAGCAGCGTCTGCCACGTGGACGTCTCAGACAAGGCAGGAGACGAGATGGACCTGGAAGGCATCAGCATGGACGCCCCCGGCTACATGAGTGACGGGGACGTTCTGAGCAAGAACATCCGGACTGATGACATCACAAGCGGGTGAGTCCCTGGGGCTTCTCTCTCTCCACAGAGCGGGAGAAGGCTTGGCAGCTGGTTTCTCTCTGGTGGGGCTTTGTGTAAGTTCTCTGAGATCAGACTGTCTACTGCACTCTGCTGTCCCTGTCAAAGGTGGTGTGGTGTGAGGGGGAACTTTCTGGGCTGACAGTCACCAGACCTGAGCCCCCAGTCCAGACTTAGCCAGTAACTTGCTAGGGGAGGTCTAGCAAGGTTCCACCAGCGGCCGGAGTGACACTTGGCAACAGACTGATCGTGTTGGTCCTTTAAACCAAGACTCGCGCCTCAGATGGAATCCAGACTGCTTAGTTCGGCCGTCGCCTTCTTAGAGGTCCTCCTTCTCCATCCGTCTTGCTTCCTCTGCTTCCTGGCTTCCTTCTCTTCCTCATTCTCATCAAGCTTCTTCCTGCCTCATGGGCTGTGGGCTCTCCACCTGGATTCGGTTCCTGTGATCCTCGGCCAGCTCTTTGGAGGAACCCTCCTCGACTACTCAGCTTGAAGTAGTTATGTGGCCTGCCCCGTGCCCTGATCATCTCCATCGCCGTCTTATGCTCCCCCGAAAGCTTGTCCCTATTGGAAATTATCCTGATGACATGTTTATATTTTCTTGTCCCCCTGCCCCCTCCTGCTTGCCACAATAAAGCACCACGAAGGAGGGACATCGTCTGGCCTATTCGCCGCCTTATCCCCCATACGTGGTACATACAGAAACTTATATCATAAATATGGCTGACTTCATGAATGTGTGGATTGAGAGATGAAGGAAAAAACCCAGCCACCCTGTTTCTCCATTTGTTCACATGGGAACTTAAAGTGAGCGGTGGGATGATGTCTAAGTTGCCCTGTGGCCACGTATGGCACTAGGTAAGGCTTCCTGATATTAACTTCACTCCCAGATCTCTGTGAAAACTGAAGGCGCCTCTGTTTATTTCACTCGCCTGAGACTTCTTCATTTGAGAACTTGTGCACAAACTCTCCAAGATCTTTTCCTCCTGTCCCGAAATCAGCAGTCAGAATTGCAGCTAACAGAAATCAGGCGTGGGGCACCTGGATGGCTCGGTCGGTTAAGCATCCGACTTTGGCTCAGGTCATGATCTTGCACCCCGTGGGTTCGAGTCCTGCCTCGGGCTCTGTGCTGACAGCTCGGAGCCTGGAGCCTGCTTCGAATTCTGTGTCTCCCTCTCTTTCTCTCTGCCCGTCCCCTGTTCTCACCCTGTCTCTCTCTCTCTGTCTCTTGCTCGCTTTCTCATTAAAACAAACAAACAAGGGGCGCCTGGGTGGCGCAGTCGGTTGAGTGTCCGACTTCAACCAGGTCACGATCTCGCGGTCCGTGAGTTCGAGCCCCGCGTCGGGCTCTGGGCTGATGGCTTGGAGCCTGGAGCCTGTTTCCGATTCTGTGTCTCCCTCTCTCTCTGCCCCTCCCCCGTTCATGCTCTGTCTCTCTCTGTCCCAAAAATAAATAAACGTTGAAAAAAAAAATTAAAAAAAAAACAAACAAAAAAAAACAGTCATAATAATCATCCTGCTCATTTCCATGAACAGAGTGATCAAGACCCCCATGGGTGAGTCAGTATTTAAATAATTTTAATGATAGCTAATGTTCCCACTACGTGCCGAGCACTGTGCTTCATATACGTTACCTTGTTCTGTGTCACGGCAAGTAGGTGATATCATAATCCCCATTTTTATGAATGAGTAGGAAGGTTAAAGAACTTGCCTAAGGTCTCAAAGTGATGAGGAGACAGAGCCCAGGGTTCGTGGCTTCAGAACCTGAGCCTGTTATTAAACCATCTTGTCCAACATTTTATCACTACACTAAAATAGCACAACTACTGGAGTTTATTTCAAAATTAATTTACTTTTGCTCAGTTTTACTTGTCTTAGTAGAAATGTTCTTTCATTTCATGAAAACCTCAGCTATAGACATGCTTTGGCTTTCTGCCCGTCCCTTTTAGAACCATCTTGGTGAGCAAAATCTTGGAAGACAGGAGCCACCAAACCCTTACAGTGGGACAAATTTCTGCTTTCCAGAATGGCTGGGAACACTAATGGACTAGTAAAATCTGGTTAACCGAGAGCATAATCATATGTTGCTAGTTTTCCATAAGCACGAAAAACAATCTCATATACCTATTACTAAAATTGCCTGTAATTTAACCTTTTTATTATTATTTAGAAGACTTTTGGTGTCCAGTGTGGCCTCAGGATTATCATTACCAATTCCCACTGGAATATGCTACGAAAATATTTTTTAGTGATTCTGAGATTTTTTGTGCGTGTGTCCTCTAATAGTTAATTTTATTGTCAAGCTAGTCTTTTAATCCTCAGTAGACGGTCAGTGTCTGATTTTGAGGTAGTGTTTACAGTTTCCACAAGGTGGCGTCATTGGAACACTCTCCACTGAACCTGAGTGCTGTCCCAGTGAGATGGTCCTAGATTTTTAGCTCTTCAACCATAACCTTTATCCCTGCTAAGTAGCACAAATGTTTACATTTCAGTTCCTGCTTCGGGAGAGCTTACATTTTTAGCAAGTGAGATATGCTCAGAGCAAGTGCAGATAAAAGTGCGGAAATGTAAGCAAACCACCCAATTATTGACACTGGAGAACTCTGGTCTGGTTTCCTTCCCCATTTCTTTTAATGCAGAACTTTACCTTCAAAATGAGGAGAGGGAAGCCCAGATGGCATCTAATGCTCCGGAACACGAGTTAAGTAAGACTCCGCTCTATGGAAACGCGTGTTGAGTTTTCTGTTTTGAGGCCAAGTTACCTGTTTGCCTTCCTATGCTGAGTTCAAGGCAGGTTTAAGGTTCTTTGTACTCTTTTCTTTTTCCCCTTATAAACATGACTATGTGTAGGTGTTGAAGGACTGAGCTATTCTTCCGTGCTTTGGAATCTGCTAAATAAGTCCTTGCTGAAGCAGTGGATGTAGTGGAAAGAAAACAGACTGAGTCGTGAGCCTGAGCTGGAACCCTGCTCGGCCCCCCCTTGCAAGCTCTGTGACGTTAGTACAACATTTAACGCCCCTAAGCCTTGCAGCACTACAATTAATATGGTCTTTACCCCTCTACAATTAGATAGTTCTCTTTGAGGTTGTATCTGGTTAATGGCAAATATCTGATGAAGACACAGGGTTTCAGACAGGATCTAGATGTCTTATCAACCTCAAACATCCAGACACTTGAAAACAGTGAGATGATTAAAGTGTTCATCCAGATGTTTGTTTGGCTTAGTGGGAGCGGCCTTGATGTGTGAGTAATGTCTAAATCCGTGTGGAGGCTCTTAAAGTTTTTGTAAAAGTTTACACCAAGTTTATTTAGAATGCCTGATGTGGAACTAAGCTTGGTTTCTGAAAACCCATGACCTTGGGGTTTAAAATGACACACTGTACCCCCCAGCTTGGTCTAGCAGCTGTTTTTTGCTGTCTCTAGTTCATTGTCTCCACTGGATATGTATGCACATGCACCTGTGTGTATCATTCAATTCTCCCTAAGGTGGGGCTGAAATTACTCTGTTTCCATTGAGTTTCGCTAAGAACCTAATAGCAAATGCCTTTTGTCTTTATGAGTGTGTATTTATTAAACTCTTCTATCGCCCTTAGTACGTACCAGGCGTGACAAAGAACTTTATAGTTGTCACCTGACCTCACCACTTCCTTTTATTAGATTGATAAATTGGGCTTTGGCTGTACTTCATGGAGGAGAAATTAAAATAACAGACGAAGATGTTTCTTACTAAGTTTTGATCTGTGAAGTCAATCCATTTACTGATCTTCTAAAAATTCAAAGTGCCATATGGTATAGAATAAAATTAAAGGGACCGGCTTAGCGTCCATATGTTTGGAAAGATGATTTTTTTTTTTCCCCCTTTCAGAGGAGGCACTCAGTTATATCATGTTCCTTTTGCAAGAACCTTTGATGACTTCCCATTTCTTGTAGGAACAGATCTCAACTGAATGTGGGAAGCTCTTTATGGTCTTTTCGTCAGCCGCTCTCCCTTCCTTAGCCCCGGCCACAGCCCACCTCACATGCCCCACGGTCCCCACTGCTCTGGGTTACCTGCTGTTCATTACCAAAGACTATGTGTCCTGTATGTGTAAAGCTTGGTGCCTCACGACATGGCTATTTCCCCATGGCGTTCCTTTCCCTCAGGCCCATCTGACTGATTCTACAAAATAAACATCCTCCACCAAAGGTGGAGCTCCTGGAAGGCAGGCAGTGCTCAGTATTTTTCTAAACTCAGAGACTACAAGTGGGTATTTAATGAATATCTGTGCATGACCTGTTCTCCATGCGTACCCTCCCAGGACCTTGAGCTTCTATAACTTGCCACCATCAGCTATAAAACCCAATGATGCTATCTACAGACCTGGGAGAAAATGAACCTCAGCTGCTTTGTCTTTTTGGTGCGATGCATAGCTCCATCTAGTGGCCAGTATGGGATGTGATGCTGTGGTTTTGATTGCTTTTAATTCTGCCTTCTGTTGCTTTGGGACTCAGGGCTCAGGAAGTGGTAAGTCTAGTAGCTGGTTTGTCTTTCACATGTGGCCTGACCAGGAGTGTGGTGTGGGAGGGAAAGCAGGGTTGGGAGCAAGCTGGTCTTCCGGGCTGGCTCTGTGATAGCTGCAGTCTTCCCCGTTAGGTGTCAGGGATTTCTCCATCAGCAGATAGTACATGTGTGCCGGTCCCTGATGGGGGACTCTGATCTTCGGAAGTAGAGCAACCCATGCCCCCTGAATTTCCTATAGCTCCGTAAATATGTCGGGGCATGTCTTAGCTGAGGCGGCTCTAGCAAAATACCTTGGACTGGGGGCCTTAAATAGCAGACACTTACTTCTACAGTTCTGGAGGCTGAAATCCAACATCAGAGTGCCGGCATGGTCAGGTTCTGGTGAGTGCCCCCTTCCTGGCTTGCTGTGTCCTCACATGGCAGAGAGAAGTGTTTTGATGTGTCTCTCTTTTCTTAGGAGGGCACTAATCCCATTCAT